TTCTAGGCAGTATTTGTTTGTTTGTAATATCTACTGTTAGCAAGATATTTCAAATAAGAAATGAGTCCAGGGAAGAATTGTCCATTTTTCCAAAATAAATGGGAAAAAATAGAGAAATTTCTAAGATCACAGAACATACAAAAGTGAGAAAGAAGGTGACTTCTTGACCACAATTACTTGGAGATAAGGCTGGTATTTAAGAACCCATGCTCCTTCCATTTTATGTCTCCTATACTCTAACATGTGGATTCTGAAGTTCTACACCAGTGGCAGGTAGAAGAGCTTGGAGGATTTCAGGTGCAAGGTGTTTGAAGTAAAAACAAACTGTATCGTACATCACTTCTTGTCTCATTCTAGTGAAGACAATGCAGTTCCATGGCCACACCTAAGTATTTAACAACAAAGGTCCATGATATATTTTAGATATTTGTCTTGCCCAAATCTCATGTTGAATTGTAACCCCCAGTGCTGGAGGTGGAGCCTGGTAGGAGTTGTTTGGGTCATGGCTTGGTCCTGTCTTCGTGACAGTGTGTTCTCACAAGATCTGGCCATTTAAAACTGTGCAGCATCTCGCCCTACTCTCTTACTTGCTACGATTCTCACCAGGTGAGACACCTGCTCCTCCTTTTGCCTTCTGCCCTGAGTAAAAAGCTCCCTTGAGGCCTCTCCAGAAGCAGTTACAAGCACTATGCTTTCTGTACACCCTGCAGAACCGTGAACCAACTAAACCTCTTTTCTTGATAAATTAGCTAGGCTCCAGTATTTATAGCCACTTGCGTAGCTATAAAGAAAATTATTAGACTGTGTTATGGTCTAACACAGTCCAGTAAAACTTCAACAACACACCTTTTTGTGACAAAGACTGTTAAGACTGCAACCTCTTTGTTGCAGCTATCTTCAAAGTAGACTCTATGAAGCAAATAATTAAATTATCCTTGGGAATTATGCCCAAGAAAGAATATGGACATGTGGGACTGCTGAAACAAATAGATTAGAGGCCCATTAATATGTATTTGTAAAAACTTGTACTAAGAAATTATGAATCTGCTATAAAAAGTCTTTTACTTTTCAGCTTTGCATCAAATATTGGACCTGCAAACATTTTCTGGTAGGAAGTAGGCTAGAAAACATTCTAGTCATTGTCCTCTTTAGATATTGCCACACAGAATAATAGACAATAAATAATTGCCAGAAGGACCTTGAATTTTACACTTTACACTTCACACTTCTTAACTGTGCACTTGACATGTTACTTAATCTATAGCTCAGTTCACTTGTCTGAAAAATGTGTTAAAAATAGAATTTATTTCATAGGGTTTATGTGAACTGACTCAAATAAAATATTTAGGTCTTAGCACAGAGTAGGAATTCACTGAAGTTTAGCTATTCTAAATTAACTAATTAACTAAATACCACATCTGAAAAAATCAGATATAATCTTTAAAAAATGCTTGCTATGGATTTGTAGTATTTTGGGGTTTGTCTCACTGGGACTCAATATTTCAGGCTGAAATTTTTATAGGTTCATGCAGTAAATGTTTAACATAAAATTAAACCAATGATAGAAGTGGTATTTAAGTAATCATACATATAGCAGTCTTCTGAAATAGGCTTATAGAAAGTAAAAAGAGCTGTATTACATGTAAAAGAAAACATTTAAATTATACAAATGTAGCAAAAGCTTCTTTTAGACAATAAAATAAAATAATTAGTATGGCAGTTGTAAACCACATAAGACTCATAATTGCTGTACAAAATATTTTAAATCAATTTTAGAGACTGGGATATTAAATTTTATCTCATCATTCAAGAGTATACTTTTTTCTTAAATTTCTTCCTCAATTAGACTTTATTATATTATCCAGCTGTGCTAATTCAATGCAAAGTTACTCCAACTGGAAAGATAAAGAAAGTTCATGGTTTGTATCATTGATAGTTCACTGAAAGAAATTATAGAACCCCTGGATTTAAACATTTGCCTTTAAGATATTCTAAAAGCACTTTTATTCATGTATAATAAAACCAGAAAGCATTATGAGTATTCTAATATTGCAGAATCATACAACATATTTACAGAGAGATAATAGAAGAAATAGGCATTATCTAAGGACCTTTAAACCCTCTACAAATAATTCTTATATTTTCTTAGATAATAAACTGTTTTGAAAATCTTATGAAAATTATGAACCTTCTCTTTTTTCCCCAAATACTTTGTACTCTTGGTTGAACATGTATTCAAAATTCCACGTGCTAGAATTTTGATCCGCAGTGCAACCATGTTGGGAGGTGGGGCCAAATGAGAGATAATCAGGCTGTGAAGACAGAGTGAATGGATTAATGCCATTATCATGGGAGTGGTTAGGTATCCTGCGCATGGGTTTATCATAAAAGGGGAGTTTGGCTATAAGATGACATGCTTATTTGTCCATAGGATGACTCAGCAAATAGTTCTTCACCAGCTGCCAGCAACTTGATCTTGGACTTCCCAGCCTCCAGAACTATGGGGAAATAAACTCGATTCTTTATAAGTTACCCAATCTCAGGTGTTTTGTTTTAGCAATAAAAACAGACAAAAGCAGTTAGCATGCACACAAATCTGCAGTGTTTTACATGATTGTTCACTTAGCTCCTGGGCCCCTGAATCTCATTTATAAGATATATAAAACTTAGTTTGAAAATCTCTATTTAATAGCACATTCCTATCCAGATTTTACAGATTGATATTTAGCTAATAGCCCCAGTGTAGTGATACCAGTAGTTATATCAGCTTCTTGTCTAATCAATCTGTGTTCATGCTAAACCATTTAGCCGATATTTAAAATTTCACTCTTGACTAAACACTGGTATTATTTTTAATATTTCAACATTAAATATTACAATCCCATGTAAAATGTGTGAACTGTCCTATAATTTGGAGCAATTTTTTTTGTCATCAACATCATTTCTATAATACGTCAAGACCACATACTTTACTCCAAGTTTCTAATGTTATTTTTTTCTAAGACCCCACCTGGAATGCCCAAGTTTCCATATATTTTATCACATAATGCTATAAAGTAAAGGATAACTTTTTTTCAAAATACTTGTGTCACAAACTTTATTTTTAATATTATAAGGAAAAGTTCAAAAGACTTATTAAAGATCAAGGACAAAGCATTAATGTGATAATATTAAATATTAAGCTTTAGAAAACTTTAGGAAAGACATCAACATTTTGAATGCATAATGTACAAATGTGGGATATAATTTGGACCAAAATACTTTTACACTTTGTGATTTTTAAATGAGTTAGTGAAATGGATCAACTTGAATGAGCCATAGGGTGCCCAGATATTTGATCAAACATTATGTACGGTGTATGTTTAACATCTGGAAACTCAGCTGACTTTTGTAAAGAAGCCCAATCCTGCTCAGTAGCCAGGCTCAGAGAGGAACCCACTCTTCTTTCCTCCATCTCTCATGCTTCATACTTTCCTAAGGTGTAGAGAGCCAGCTGCTTAATCTTGAACCTGGAAAGTACATTTGATCTCACCCTCTTTCTTCTGTAGAAAGTTTTGCAGATAGATAAAACACTGATTTTTAAGATTTTATCCATTTTAACATTTAGCAGTCATCACTGTCAGGAACATCTTCTCCATAACTAGCCTTCAATTCTCAGCTGACACCTAAAGACTTTTCTCAATCTTTCTTTTGATTAGAGGACTTATTGGAAGGCTTTGATTAGATTGATCAGAGAGAAGAGTAACTGGACTGTAAATTACTGGTCACTGCTGAGGACGATTATGATCAATGTGGGTATCTCAAATGGTTTTATCTGATGATAGAAGTGCATGCAAAGTATGTTCATTAACATTTATTTTAAGAAGAGTAATGATTTTGCTGCATCCTTAAACTTAAGATCATTAGGCATATTTAAAAACATACTATTTCATACAAGGTATCACACAATACACAGTACCTTGTATTCCACATGGAGTAAATTGAATTATTAACTCAGCCTCTACAGACAAACACCTTAAAAGTTACTTGGGGAGACAGCATACGTGGACATTAGATGATAACTAACATCATCAAACAAATGTAGCATAGATAAATGAGTAATGTAGGGAAAAAGCAATCTGTGTTGGCAAGGTGTATGAAAAATGTACAAATTTCAATTTTGAAATGTAAAAATCTCCTGTAAGTTTGGCAGATTTTCATATCTCCATTCTAGAGATATACTGGGTTGACAACTAATTTATATTTTGTGGTCTTAAAAATATTATTCTGTTGTAAACATAGTATCAAATATAGTTAAATGTCAGTACATAAGTTTGCAAAAATAAAAATAAAATTTTAATTAAAAATAAGAGGCAAAAATAAATGGACTTCTATTTATTTGTCCAAAATATTTGCAGGACCAAAAAATACTGAATAAAATAGTCAAAGTAATTTCAGGGATAAGAAAAACATAACAAACAAATAATCAGTGCTCAAATGCAAATTCTACCAGCATTAAACATTTCAAACTAAATTATTTATGTCTTACATCTTCATGGAAATATTTATTTTACTTATGTCTTCTTTCTTTTTGAAATGACAAAATGACATAGAAACTCCTGAACTTCCTTTAAGTTCAATACAGAATAAAGATTCTATCTATGAAAGCAAAGAAATGGTTCAATTTAAAAATAATTTCTTTTGAATATGCTCATTTGTGGACCAGTCTATGCTACACTAACCAATAACTAGAGTATCTTTATATAATAACTCTTGGTCATGAGGTATAATAAGGCCTTAAATTATTAAATAGTAATATTGTGAACTTAAAATGAATGAGACAGGCTATACAATAGATACATCTTTGAGATTTAACATGTCTTAAATTCATTTTACATCCTTTATGTATTTTTCACCAGCCAAAGATAAGTTCATTAAGGCAATTGAACAATCTGGAATGAGCAACTGACAGACGGATTTTGACTAAAATTTTCATGACATAATATATGTTTGTTTTCCAGGTTCTTCTGCAGTACAGACCCCTCATATGGTTATATATGCGACATTTACTCCTCTCTATTTGTTTGAAAATAAGATATTTTCATTAGAGAAGATGGTAAGCATTCAAGATTAGGAAACAGTATGATTTTGTGTGTGTGTGTGTGTGTGTGTGTGTGTGTGTGTGTGTGTGTTTACTTGCTGTGGTAGACGCCACATGAAAATTTAAAATTCTATCCGTGGATGTCAGTTTCCTTATCTTCAAAATTAGATACTCGACCTAAGGGATCTGACACATCCAAAATTATCTTAGATGATTGCAATAGCTTTGGGTAATTATTTTAAAAAAGGAAAAGAAAATAATATATAGTCACATTTAATTTTATAGATCCTTCTATTATATACAAAATGATTATATAGAATTTATGTATTTCAGTGAAAATCATAGAAAACTGAAAACAAGCCAAGGATGCCATTCCTATTTAACATAGTATTGGAATTTCTGGCAAGGACAATCACGCAAGAAAATAAAATAAAGGGTATTCAATTAGGAAAACAGGAAGCCAAATTGTCTCTATTTGCAGATGACATGACTGTATATTGAAAAGACCCCCCACATTGTCTCAGCCCCAAATCCCCTTAAGCTGATAAGCAACTTCAGCAGTCTCAGGATGCAAAATCAATGTGCAAAAATCACAAGCATTCCTATACACCAGTAATAGACAAACAGAATCAAATCATGAGTGAACTCCTATTCACAATTGCTACAAAGAGAATAAAATACCTAGGAATAGAACTAACAAGGGATATGAAGGACCTTTTCAAGGAAAAACACAAACCACTGCTCAGGGAAGTAAGAGAGAACACAACAGATAGGAAAACATTCCATGCTCATGGATAGGAAGAATCAATATCGTGAAAATGGCCATACTGGCCAAAGTAATGAACAGATTCAATACTATCCCCATCAAGCTACCACTTTCTTCACAGAACTGGAAAAAACTACCTTAAATTTCATATCGAACCAAAAAAGAGCCCACATAACCAAGACAGTCCTAAGCTAATTGTTTTCTTATACATTTAATGAATTGTAGAAAATTTAGAAAATGTAGTGAAAGGAAAACAATTAAAATATTGATAGTGTAAACGGTAAGGCGTCGGCCCTGTTAACATTTTGGCATATATACTTTGATTTTTCTCCTATACTATATTCTGTGTTTGTATGTGTGTACTTTTTACTGGAATCATACTTTATGTTACATTTGGAAACCAGCTTTTCACTTAACAAGATCTTGTTAACATTTTTTCATGCTGCTAAATTTTAATCAGTATCTTTAGTGTTTGCCTAGTATTTATGAATTTTCATTATTTTTAAGCTATCTATTGTTCTTGGTCAGAGAAAACTTTTCTCCTTTTCTTGTAATAGTGAAGTCCATCAAGTTATCATACAATTTATTTAAACAAATGTGCTACTGCATTTGGGGTTTTTGAATTCCAGTCCTATCTGGGGACTCTAGACAGCTAACATTTTATTATTAGGATTTCATGATGTGAAGTCACTATATTAAAATATACGACTGCCTTGTGCAGCAATATGATTACATATGAATGTTCATTTAGTTGGTTAGAAAGAGCTAAGTTTTAAAACTTGAATGGAAATTAGCTTGAAATACAAATATTCCAGTTGAATGATTATTATGCTTTACTATGTGCATTACATTTGTCCTTTAGATTATGCCTGGGGGGCATGTTTCTAACATTTTTCCTCTTCTTTTTCTTCACCTTCTTTCTTCTCTACTTTTTTAGATAAAAATAATTCCTTCTAGCAAAATTTTACCATATAACAGTGTTCACATCATAAGAGGATAATGTGCCATCCTGAATATGGCAGTTTCACTATTTTTAATCCAAAGTTAGAAAACATTAGCCTTGGTTAAATAGCAGAAACAGCATTTGGACTGAATATTAATGCCAGCAACATTCAGTAATCTAAATGTACTTTTAAAGCCTCTCACAAGGCAAGTCTCTTGCTAATATTAGGGCTGGCCATCTCATGCCTGGCTTTCTTTTAACCTCTTTGCATGCTACTGGCCTAGGTGCTATCTAAGATATACTAGTGAGTAAATGCTCTAACTCACTGGACTACTACTGAAGCATACCAGCAATGCCCCGTCAATGATAGACTGGATAAAGAAAATGTGGTACATATACACTATGGAATACTATGCAGCCACAAAAAGGAATGAGATCATGTCCTTTGCAGGGACATGGATGAAGCCAGAAGCCGTTATCCTCAGCAAAGTAACACAGGAACAGAAAACCAAACACTGCATGTTCTCACTCATAAGTGAGTTGAACATTGAGGACACATAGACACAGAGAGGGGAACATCACACAGCAGGGCCTGTTGTAGGGTGGGGGTTGAGGGGAGGAAATGTAGAGTATGAGTCAATAGGTGCAACAAACCACTATGGCACACAGATACCTACTAACAAACTTGCACATTCTGCACATGTATCCTGTCTGCTTTTTTAGAAGAAATTAAAAAAGAAAAGAAAAAAGAATACCGGCAATGGTTTATGGCATGCCATAGTCCCATGCCTGAGAAGTACTCAAACCCCTTTTAAAACCACAAAATGTAAGCACAGGATAAAAGCATTATTTAAAAAATGGGACGTAAAATAATCCTTTTGAACTTTTGGTAGTGCTACCAAGAAACTAAAATTTAAGTACTGTTTGTTTTTAATTTAAAAGACTAACATTAAAGACTAAAAACTCATATCTGTTTATTCATTGGTAATTCAACAGATTTTTGAATCATCTATTATATGCTAAACAATATGCTATGTTCTGAAGATACAACGATAAGCAAGATTGACAAGGTTCTCCTCACAAAGCTGAGAGTCTAATAAGGAAGGCTGACAATTGAGTGAATTGCAATAATACAGTTAGAACAGAAGGCATACAAGGTGCTTGCCACATTGTAGGTGTACATGATTTAACATTTGTTGGAGGAGTAACCAAGTGAACATATGGTTAAATGAATGGAAAAAAAAATGAATGAAAGACACATAACAGAAACACATCATTTTTTCTAATGGGTAGGTAGCCAGGGAAGTCCTCCCAAAGGAAGAACTGTTTAAGCTGAGACTGAAGAAGTTAAGCAAACAAATGGGATAAGGTGTGTTCAAAGGAGAGAGAATCTTATGTTGGAAAGTGTGGAGATGAAGGAGATCACTGGGTTCAAGGAACTACTGGATACTGAGATTGTAAGGGGAGAAGACTTAAAGGCAGCTTGAGGTGTGAGTGATGGTCAAGACATAGATTTTTATAAATCCTCCTTTTGGGGAGATTTAAGGTTTAAGGTGCCCAGAGGAAATAGCCCATTGTCTATAACAGTAAATAAGTGACTTCCAAGACTGTAATGAACTGACGAGTGTGTTACCGTCTTCCTGTCTTGCCTGCTGATTATTTTAGATTAACATTCTGTGAGGGTGACCTGGTAAATATCAGAATATAATAGAGATTCAATGTCTTAACAATATACCTATTGGAAAAATTTCTGTCTTAATGAAATTTTGTTAAATGCAGTTCATTGCTAAAAGTTACAGCCTCAAAGACAGTGAGATCAGCTGATAAAATAAAGCCAAGAACTTACATTTATTTAAAGAAGTGGTAAAAAATACAAGAAAATCAAGAACAAAACTTGGGAAGGAGCAAGATGTTATAAATTACCCTACATTATCCAACTTCTTCCTCCTCTGGGGTATTCTAAATGGTTTTAGTTTTAATTAGATATGGGAGTTTTAATAAAGGCTTCTTCACCTACCCAAATCCAATCCTTGCATCTTTTAGAATGTTTGAAATAAGATGGAATGAAAAGAGTGAAAGGGTCTTAGGAAAGGAAACTTCTAATTCAAGTCTTACAATGAATTATGCAGCAAATGTATATTGAGTGTCTATGAAAAACTCAGTGTTTCAGGCACTATTGTAATCTCTCTCTTCCCCTAATTGTCACCTAAGGAACTTTGAAATCCTTTAACAAACTTTCTTAGCATCAAACTATAACTATAATTAATAGCATTACTTTACATGAATCGGAAGTATTGTATAAATACATTGAAAATAATATGAAGTACAAAGAAGAATTGTTGTATTTAAATTTCTTGTGCTAAAATCATGTTACTACTTTGGCAGGTTATTCAAATTATAAATAGGTGCTAATACTGGAATTTATTATTTGGACCAGTCCTTTACATTTCCAAATGCCTTAAATCATTTTATTTTCTAATGCTCTACAGTTTAAAAGAAAAAGGCTTTCTTTTTTAGACTAAAATTGGTTGAAATGGCAGGGAGAAATTAACATATGCAGAACAAAAATTATGACTACTAAAATATCTGGAACTTATTCAACCTATAAATACCACTTTGAGTGTGACTTCTATTTTGGATATTATTCAACTGTAACTTTTACAGTAATTCACTTTTTATAACTACTATACTAAGGCATTGTCTTTCCATTGAAAGAATTATTTTCAAGTGTTGGCTTGACTCATGGAAACGTTTAAAACCTGACAAGGTTTAAGTTGTAGAAAAAGGTTTAGATTTTAGAACATCTATGGAAAAGTTTCTTTAAAGATCCTCTAAGACATAATTCCAGAGTTTTCTGAATTTTTTTAGTAAGTTGCTAGATATTCAAAAGGGATAAAGAGAAAATGACAGTTTCCTCCACTTCTTAATATGGTGACTTTTAAAACCCATCGCATCCCTTTTCTCTGTATTTTGAATATTTATAATACTTTAAACCACTTTGCTGGATTCACGAGTGCACTGATTAATGCCTTCTTAAAATTATTATCCTGGGCCGGGCGCGGTGGCTCAAGCCTGTAATCCCAGCACTTTGGGAGGCTGAGGCGAGTGGATCACGAGGTCAAGAGATCGAGACCATCCTGGTCACCATAGTGAAACCCCGTCTCTACTAAAAATGCAAAAAATTAGCTGGGCATGGTGGCACGTACCTGTAATCCCAGCTACTTTGGAGACTGAGGCAGGAGAATTGCCTGAACCCAGGAGGCAGAGGTTGCGGTGAGCCAAGATCGTGCCATTGCACTCCAGCCTGGGTAACAAGAGCGAAACTCCGTCTCAAAAAAAAATATATATATATATATTATCCTGACCTTGGGAAGAACTTTTCTGTCTCATGGATCTCCCACCTCAGCGAAGATGAAGCTCTACAGCAGAGTCATGAGAACAAGGCAGTTTCCACTTGAAGTAATAATTTGAAATAGGCTGCTGAGTGTGTTTCTGTTTCTAATTTAAGTGTCTGTTTTGTAAATTTACATGCTGGATTGTGGCTGTTGCATGGAAATCATTGAGACAACATAACGAGGAAGAAAAATAATTATTAGTAAAATCAATCAAAATTGATTTTAATGTAGTTACTATTTCATTTTATTTTACTTTAACTGTGAAAGTCAGAATTTCGCTATAGTATATATCACTTTAACATTTACATACTTTTTTATTTCTTTTGCATGGTTCAGGCATAAATCAGTAACATAAGTAGAACTTATTCTGAATTATTCCAAAGCAGATTGGCTTCATGAGACCTAACATTAGAATATGGGAAATATCTGCCTCGGCAACTCCTTTATTTGCAGGACCAAGAACAGCCTCTATTCCCAGTTGTTTTCTGAATTCTCCATTGCCACATGTCATCATGGAAATCTTCTTTGGAGAAACACATTGTTAGGGGAGGAGGGCATAAAGTGTAGACAAGACAGCCGCTTACCACTTTATTTACCTGAACACATTCAAGAAAGGAGCCTTAAAAAAATTAGGTAGCAATGGCTAGTTTATTTTTGTATTTACACATTAAGCACTAGTGTTAAAGCATTAACCTGTAAAAAATAATGGCTGATTAATTTTGGACTAAAACTGATGTGCTAAGATTTTGTATAATCTCATAGAATCTTGAGCTTTTAGAACTGAAAAGTGTCTTCTAGTTCCAGTCTCCCATTTTGTAAATAAAAAAACAGGGCTCCAGAAAATTTAAAAGATGGAAAGAAATAAAAATGATAGTAATGCTTGTATGGAGAGAAGTAGAGATATTGGGTGAGTTTTTTTCTTATTACTACCATATTGATTTGTTGCTGATGGTATTTTTATATTGGGAAAGGTATTACTTTCAGCGGAGGAGAATGCTTTTCAATCTACTTTCCATCTCTTAGGCAGATTCTGCTGAGAAACTTAGAGAATATGGGCTTTCGCACATCTATAGCCATCCTGTGCTGGTGACTAGAAGTAGGTCTTGTCCTCTGGTAGCACCACCAAAACCACCTCCTGTACCTCCCTGGAAACTCATTCGTCCAAAAAAGGCAACTGTTATAACAGATGAAGCTCAAGGTATGTATCATGTTGTCTTCAAATCCTTCTAATTAATGTGTGAAAGCCTAACAGTTTCATTTGTGATGAAAGATGTATGTCAGGGTAAACCACCCAATGTTGCTTCTGAAACCTACCTTTAATTTTACGCCAAAATTTTATGTCTTTAAAAGATTAATTCTTCACATCTCAGAAGATGAGAAGTTTGGTTAATGTCTAAGTTGACCACATATATCAAGCTCATTCTTTGAGTGATGGCATTGTTATTATTAGTGTGATAGAAAAGTAGTTTGTAGCAAAGTGCATCTGCTTTTATGCTTACAAACACTTCCTAATTTTCCTTCCTTCCTTCCCTCCTTCCCTCCTTTCCTCCTTCCTTCCCTCCCTCCCTCCCTCCCTCCCTCCCTCCCTCCCTCCTTCCTCCCTCATTCCCTCCCCTTCCTTCCTCCCTCATTACCTCCCTTCTCCCTCCTTCCCTCCCCTTCTTTCCTTCCTTCCTTCCTTCTCTCCCTCCTCCCTCCTTCCCTCCCCTTCCTTCCTTCTTTCCTTCCTCCCTCCCTCCCTCCCTCCCTCCCTCTCTCCCTCCCTTACCTTCTTCTCTCCTTCTCCCTCCCTCCCTTTCCTTCCTTCCTTCCTTCCTCCCTCCCTCACTTCCTTCCTCCCTTCCTTCCTTCCTCTTCCCTCCCCCCTCCCTTCTTTCTTCTCTTCCTCCCTCCTTTCCTTCCAGCCTTTCCTGTATTGTTTCTTGAACCAAAGGCTAGCAACCATTTAATGCTTGAAAAGAAAACAAATCCTTTATTTTTAAATGATATATTTTGGTTAAATTCACAAAGCCTCTTAAAACAGTTATTCATTCAGGGCATCAAGGAATAGTTGAATGAAAAGAAGAATAGTGAACACATAGGTAACTTCTGATTTTGCTACTGATTGCTGTGTGATTCTACATGAGTAAACATTCTTTAATACACTGGGGTTAAAAATCTAACAATTGGTAGGATGCTGTAATATCAGTGTCCTACCTAAAGGCTCCTCATGAAAGTTTCTTTCTAAATTGAAAATTAACAGAAAATGGGCATAGAACAGTCAAAGAAAATTTATGTATTCCATGTCATAGTCTCCTTTTTTTCCTAATAATCACCCCTAATGTTTAATTTCATTGTTCACCATGGTAATGCATGTGCTGTGTCCCTTATTCATTGAGAATTTATTTCCTCTAGATCAGCCTCGGACTTCTTTAGGAATATCTGCAAAACCTCTCTTGACCTGCTGCTTTCTTTTTATCTCATGATCTTTTCTTTGCTATAGTTTTTGCTCTTCCACTGCCGTATTCATACGTTACTTCACATTTCCTCTTCATATCCTAAGCAATTGTGTTACAGAGGTTAACTAAGGGAATGCTTCTTTTAGTAAAAGACTTTTATAGAAACTCATTCCTGTACTTGAAATAGCAGCAAATGCCAAGTAATAATTCTATAAGACATTGCTAACTTTCTCCCTTGAGACTTAATTGTTTTACATACTCTGAAGAAATCGAAGAGTAGACAAAAGAAATTGAATACTCGAAAGATCTATAAATTCTTTGAATAATAACTTTATGTATGTTTGTATATTCCTATTTCACTCTATTGAAGTTGTCTGAGTAAATAGTTAATCTAACCAATACTGTATTAAATGTTAAATTCTGCATGTAATCCTGAAAGATTTTTAAAAATGTACACGATACTTTCTAATTGCTACTACTTTTCAGAGTTAATAGTAAAGAAGCCTGACCAGTTCCTTGAGATTTCAAGTCCGTTTTTTAATTATAGAATGACTCCATTTACAATTCCAACAGAAAAGTAAGTATATAACATTCTTCCTCACCAATGCGTCTTGTTAGTAAATATTTCGTGATGTATCTGGTTAAAAATAACACCAAATGCAAACATTTTGAAGAATATGAATTTAAAAATAAGCCCAAATATATGTAAAAACTTTAAAAGGCTATTATCTTGAATTTTTATAACTTGTAGTTACACTAATCCACTTAATTAACAAATAGTTTTTGCTAATTTTTTGGGTGTGTTATGAACTGAATGTTGTATGAATGTTGTATTCATAGGTTAAAGTTCTGACTCGCCAACGTGGCTACATTTGGAGATAAGGCCTTTAAGAAAGTAATTAAGGTGAAATGAGTGATAAGGCTGGGGTACTGGTCTGAGAGGATTAGTGACCTTGTGAGGAGAGACAACAGAGTTTCTCTCTCTCTCTCTCTCTCGGTACATACACAGTGGAAAGGCCATGTAAGCATGCAGAGAAGGCAGCTGTTTGCAGGCAGGAAAGAGTGTCTTCATAAGAAACACACCCTGTTGGCACCCACCCTGACTGATCTCAGACTTCCAGTCCCCAGAAATGTGAGAGAATAAATTTCTCCTATGGAAGCTGCCTAGCCTGTGGTATTTTGTTTTGGCAGCCTGAGCAAACAGATAGACACCTTGGTACTGAGAAGTAGGGTGCAGCTGTGATAAATAGCTGAAAGTGTGGAAGTGGCTTCCACATCATCCTTGGTTCTCTTTCAAATAGGCTTTCTCATTTTTCCCAACATGGATAGGCTGAGAATTGTCCAAATCTATTTCTCTTTTCTAGCATTTTACTACAAGGAGTCAAGAGAAGCCAAGCCACACTTTCAACACTGGGCTTGGAAATTTCCTCAATCCAATATTTAATTTCACTGCTCACAAGTTCTACCTTCTGCAAAACACTAGAACACAGACAACTCGGCCACATTCTTTGCCTAACAAGGGTGGCTTTTCCCAATAACATGTTCCTTGTTTCCATTTGAGACCTCATCAAAATGGCCTTTACCATCCATATTTCTACTAGAATTCAGTTCACAGACACTTATGTATTTTCTAAGAAGATTGAGGTTTTCTTTATAGCTCTCGTCTTTTCTTTGTGGGCTCTTTCCAGAATTGTCTTTAAAGGTCCGCTCACGGCAATGTAGGTTTTTTTTAGCATGTACCTCGAATCTCTTCCAGCCTTTATTACCCAGTTCCAAAGCTGCATACACTCTTCTAGGTGGTTCTATAGCAGCAATCCCACTTGTTAGTGTCAAGTTTTCATCTTAAACTATTTGGGCTGCTATAACAAAATACCATAGACCAGCGGCTTGTAAGCAACAAAAAATGTATCTCTCATACTTTGAGAGGCTGGGAAGTCCAAGATCTGCATGCCAGCAGAATCAATTTCTGGCAAAGATCTGCTTCCTCATGCACGGCATCTTCTCACTGTGTACTTACATCATGGAAGGGGTGAATGAGCTCTCCTGGGTGCCTTTTACAAGGACACTAATGTTATGCATGCAGGCTTAATTGAGTCACCTCCCAAAGGTCTCACCTTTTAATACCATTATTTCAGGGTTCAAACTTATATCTCAAAATATAAATTTGATGGGGGAGGCGTATGCACACTTTCAGACCATAGCACCTTCCTTACTCTTCCTCTAGCAAGTAGTGTGTTCTATCAATGTGTTTTGTAAATGAATCCAGTTCTTCCCCTAAAAGAAATAATATGTAAAGCTGCTAAAATAGTATGTTTCAGCTTTTTCTATTCCCTATCTACGTGAAAAATCTTCAAATATTTGACAACATTTATATATGCATCACGCGCTCTCTGATCGTTAGGTTTCTCGATGTGTAAAAGAATCCTGTGTAAGTTATTTTCCAGTCCCACTGGATATTTCAGTTTCAAAAGACAATGGAATTTCTATTCCTGGTAAAGCTACTATGAATTAGGCTTCTGTCATTTGGACATAAGCAGTCTTAACTGATACTGCAATATAATAGAAATGAAATGAAATGTTATCAACAGTGTCACTAATTTAGTCAAAATTTGTGCTATATTAACTACTTATAATACACACGTTATTAATATATTAAATAATGCCTTTCCTTCTTAAATAGAACATACTCAAAGATATGCTTGCCTCCCTGATGAATCATACTTAGTATTACTATTCTGTCTTCTTCTAATAGAGGGACCTCAAGGACTTTGAGGAACAATTACCCTAACATTCAATGACCTGAAACTACTGGCTTTTCCAGGGTTTTCTTTCAGTGATTGGCTTAGTTGAAGTTTTAATTTTGCTTTCATAGTACTCATTATTTCTTTTTAATTCTTAATATTGTTAGCTTTCAATAGCCTTCCCTTCTCCAAATTAGTCTCTAATTTTCTGGGTGTAATGAGCAACATCACCAAATTTTTAGAATTAGTTAACCTTGGCTTATATATACTTATAATGAAGACATTAACAGTTAATATATGGGCTTTGTATCCACATTATAACAACTGGATATTTAAAATACTACCTTGGAAGTAATAGGTGTTTAGTAAATATTAACTGAACTGAAAATATTTTGAAGTGCCTAAGTTATTCAGTATTTTAAATTATGTTCTTTCCTGTATGTTAGGCACTAGGCACTTGTGGCTATATACGTTTTTTTAAAGTTAATTAATATTGGCTGGGTGCAGTGACTCATGGTGTAATTTCAGCACTTTGGGAGTCTGAGGCAGGCAGATCATGAGGTCAGGATTTCGTGACAAGCCTAGCCAACATGGTGAAACCCCATCTCTACTAAAAATACAAAAATTAGCTGGGCATGGTGGCAGGCAACTGTAATCCTAGCTATTCTGGAGGCTGAGGCAGGAGAATCACTTGAACTCAGGAGGCAGAGGTATTATATAAAATTACAAATTAATTCCCTTAGTTGAATTAATCACATTTTAAGTTCTCAGTAGTCAAATGTTCTAAGTAAACATTTTCATCATTGCATAAGTTTCTTCTAAATATTAAAGGGAATGAACAAGATGATCTTCCCATAATTGTAGCATTTTTCTATAACAGGATTATATTATTTTTAGTCTTTATTATTTTAGCCTGTATTTCTATTCATAGATTAAAATGAGAAAAGATCATTCATTTATGTAATACAACATAACTAAATGGCATTTTCTTTGCCCTATTAATAAGAACAATTGAATATAATTGTCCTCAAATGATAGTTAAAACATTTCAACCTTTTAAATTAATTTATTTAATAAATAAAAATGTACACTTTCATGGCCCATGTACTAAAATTTGTATCACTGCAGTGATTGTACAAAAGCAATATTTCTTAAGTTCCCTTTTATAGTAAATTGGTCAAAAGAAGGCCTACTTAAAATGTTCTTTAGCATCATAAAACTTAAAAAAATAAATTAAATGAGCCCTCTTATCCCAAAGATGATTAAATAAAAGATTGAGGGGACATAGAGGATTAACTAGCAAGGGCAGTATTGTTTTTGGGAGGGTAAAATGTATTCATTAATTAATCAATGAAAATTCTGACTTTAAAAATAAAGTGATATTTAAAACAAAGATACAATTGAAAAATGCCTTCACTTTCCTCTTTCATGTCGTCAGTTTTACTGCTGTGGTGAGATGTCACAGCTGCTCAGATTATGTTCCTAAAAGGAGTAGACAGCATAGGAGGGCAAGCTGGTGAGAGATTAATGGTGGTGATAAGAAATTGGGATATTGGACCAAGACAGAAGAGAGCCAGAAAGGCTTGGTGTATTTCATATTTAGAAGTACTCTAATGTTTTTCTTGTTTCTAGTAATTATGCTGATGGGAAAATCTGTCTGGCTTGATAGACGTGGCTACTATTTTAGAAAAACAACAACAAAAGCGTCTTATCTACCTCAATCATTAGTACTGATGAATATTTTTAATTATTACCAGCTAATTACATTACAAGATTAAATGATTGTCATAGAAAGGTGAAAAACCAGGTGTGTCATTCTTAGGGAAAAAAAGAGACTAAATACAACAGCAAAAACAATGAAGAACAATGAAGACAAAGAAGGAAGGAGAAGGAAGAGGAACCCATATTCACTAATATTTGAAAACATGACCATAGGGATAGAAAGAAAGACTGTGAAGTTGGGTCTGAAATTTTTATTGAATTGGAAGTCACCAAGAACTTTACAATAGCAATAACCATTGTATTGGATGATATGAGTGCAGGGTATGATGGCTGCCACTATAATTGTGGTAATTTTTAATGTAGCAATAGGTGGCTAATACTTGGTTATATATCAAAAACTAGAGAATTTACACTTTGAATTCGTGCAGTTAATTGTACTTCAATTATCCTTCAATAGAGTGAAAATACAAAAAAGAAAGTATATAAAGTGGTTTAAAAAATAAAATAGAAATTCTAGAAGCAAGAAGTATAATGACTGAGACCCAGAACTCAACAGATGTGTTAAGAACACATTAGATACAGACTAAAGGAGAATAAGCAAAATTGAAAATAGATTAGAAGATAATATCCAGACTAAAGCAGGGAGACAAAAAAATGGGAAAATAGTACAGTTAGGACGTATGGGACATGCTGAAAATGACCAATGTACGTGCCAGTGGTTCTCAGAAGTAGAAGATAGATTTGAAAATAATTAAAAGATCAAATCTTAATGGCCAAAAGAATCCCATAAGGAAACATTTAGGTCAAGATTCAGGAAGTCCTAAAAACGCTAAGTAATATAAATACAAAGGAAACTGCAGCTAGACACATCATGGTAAAATCAAAGACAAATATAATGCAATAATGTAATGCAATAAAAGTGAAATAGATACTGTTATACAAAGTAATATGGATGAATCTCACACACACACACACACACACACACACACAATTTAGACTAAAGAAGTCTGGTACAAAAAGTACATGGTTAGTTTTCAGTTATCCTAATAATATACAGTAAGAAAAGAAAACATTTAAAAAGCAATATATGGTGTTAGAAGTAACCGATGTGGCTATCTGTGGTGAGGAGAGTAGGCTGTGATGAGGACGTGCCTCTGGCAGGGTTTGTGGATTGCTAGTAATAGGAAAAACCTTGATCTGAATGATGGTCATTGTTTAAGAACTTTTAAACATGTATTTTAAGTTTCAACAAAGCTTTACTAAAATTATTGAATGGTACCATTGGTCACATATATGATGCCCATTAGATATGGTTTTAGTCTTCTGTTGGATGTACTATAATCTATGATAGAAATATAAGCTGATGAGAGAAACGCAGTCAAAATTTAGATCTTATCTAGTTCATTGTAATTTCCTACTTTTACTCTTCATATCAAAGGTAGTTAATTTACACTTTATTTATTCTACTTAAGTTTACAGTGCTAGAGTTATTCCTCAAATATTTTACCTTTAAATCTTTGTCAGTTCTATGCATTGACAATTGAACATTGAAAAGTGGGTGGGGAGGGGGCGATATACATAGACAAATAGTGGCAGTTGTCAATGTCAAGCCATTTGGGACAGCATTATAACCAGAAAAGACAATTTTCTGCTACTTTAAAATTTTATTATTGTTAACAAATTAATAAATCTAAAGATGATTTCCTGCTACTTTGGTTTTAAAATTTTGTTATTGTTTCAAAATGATAAATAAATAATTTTATTTAATAAATAAATTTTTTCTCAAACTTTGGGTTTTTGCTTTGATTTGTTTTGTTTTTAGAGATGGGATCTTGTTACTTTACGTGGCTGGTCTTGAACTCCTGGGTTCAACTGGTGCCTCTTGCCTTAGCCTTCTGAGTAGTGGGGACTACAGGCATGTTCCACCAAGTCCAGCATATAATTTGTGTTATAATTTCTAATAAATCAATGTAGTAATCTCAATGAAAACTTAAACTAATTCATTAAATTTATTTAAATATTTTATGTTGCATTTACAACTTTACTGGTTTTTCTCTTCAAGCACTTTAAAAGCCAAAAATGATAGCAGAAAAAGTCTTCTCAAGTATTTAAACAACTACAAAAGTCAAGTAATCAAAATTATGTATTTGTAGAAATTTAAATTTTCCTATACATACTATAAATGTTTACAAACCAAATTTCTCCTATAGCTTTCAACTTAAGCATACAACTAAAATTAAACAGTAAGCTATACATTTAAAGGCCTAATTTGTATATTATGTAACATGCTAAATTCTTTCACATATTATAAAAACCCACACATCATATCTTAGTCTGTTTGAGTTGCTATAACAAAAATACCATAGACCGGGTGACTTATAAACAACAGAAATTCATTTCTCACAGTTCTGAAGTCTGGGAGTCCAAGATCAAGGTACTGGCAGATTTGGTGTCTGGTATGGGCTCACTTTGATAGATGGCTTCATTTTTCTCTATGGTCTCACAGGGTAGAAAGGGCAAAAGATCTCTCTGTGATCTCTTTTATAAGGGTTCTAATGCCAGTCATGAGAGCTCTACCCTCATGACCTAATCAAAGGCTCTACCTCCAAACACCATCACACTGGGGATTACGTTTCAACGTCTGAATTTTGGAGGAACACAAACATTTAGTCACACACAGAATTTTTCTAAACTTAACACAAAAATGTTAATACTTCATGATTTCTGATTAAAGTCATGCTTAAGGCTACTCATTGTTTTAGTCAGTTCTCCAGAGATACCAAATGAATGCGGAATATAGACATTGACATATAGATAAAGATATAAATAAAGACATATGACAGCAGGTGTCATTAGAGGAAGTGGCTCACTAGTTACGGAAGCTGAAAAGACTCAGGATAGGCTGTCTGCAAGCTGGAGGTCAGTAGTGCCTGGTTCAGTCCTAACCTAAGGGCCTTAGAACTAAGGAAGCTGGTAACTCTCAGTCTGAAGACAAAGGTCTGAGAATCCAGGGAGTTGTTGCTGCAAGTCCTAGAGTCCAAAGGTCAGAAGCTCTGGACTTTTGATGGCTAAGGGCAGGTGAAGAAGGGCATCCCAGCGCCAGGAGAGAAAGCCAGTTCACTTTTCCTCTGCATGTTTGTTCTACCCAGGCCCCCAGCTAATTTGATGGCACCCATCTCCATTGAGGGTGGATCTTCTCTCAATCCTCCAAGTCACACGCCAATCTCCTCTGGAAGCACTCTCACAGACACACCCAGAAATAATGTTTTACCAGCCACCTAGGCAGCCCTCAAGCTGGTCAAGATGGCACCTAAAATTAATCACCTAAGATGATGATTTTGCCATTCAAAATAATTATTATATCTCAGCTAATTTATTTGCATATAAATCAGGGATTTTGTGAGTTGTACAAAATAGAACTGCAGACCTCAAGGACTAATTATCTTACAATTTCAATAGTCATAGTCAGCCTTTTAGAATCTCTATGCCAATAGGGACCCCAAATGGGTTAGTTTCATAATGTGAATTCTCTGAGTTACTTACATTTTTCTTTTATCTTTTTTCAGCTGTATTAGTTGATTAAAGTACATGAAATTCTAATACCCAAATACAGGTGGCTTCATCACCTGATTGGATTTGACTAATGTATTCACCACTTGAATGTGTTATGAATTCATTTACATATTCATCTTTTCTGACAGAGACAAATCAGAAATATGTCAATGGCATTTCATCCTATGTGATAGACATGTCTCTTGTCATGCTTTGCTGTGCAGAGTTCTCAGGTCAACGTAAGAGCAAGCCTGTTTTTTAGTGAGCCTTTGCAAGTGACTGCTATCACCACGTTCTACCTTAAGAACCCTGTCATTGTAGCTACACTCCAGGTTTACCCATTCTTGACTCCTGGCCATGTCTGGTAGAATCGGAGACTCACAAGCAAGTTTGTGCTACCCTCTAGTGGCAGTTTTGTGTAAACCAGCAAAGTTTAATAAGAAGTGAATTTTGACAGAACCCTAACTGGAAAAAAAGTCCCAAGTTGATGAAGGGTATCTATGTACATGGAACTTAATTTCATCTTTGAAATACATGTACTTAAAAATGCATATACTATAAGAAATGTCTTTATCGTACCTATAAAATTCTAGCTATGGCAAGAGCAATTTGGAGTCATATCAGCAATTACTTGAAAGACTATATGCTTGGGTAGCTGGTATGAATGTAACAGTTATAAACTTAAGTGCTCAGGACTCATAATTAAATTTCTAACTCTTAGTTCTGTTTTACTGATACATCCCCACTCTGATACTTAAATAAATCAATTGCAAATGTCAAATTTCTGTTTTGATCATCAAAATCCAAAGATGAGCACCAAAGCTTTAAAACACATAGTGTTCTAGAATTGTTTTACAACAATTTGTTGGCTGACATACAATATTTTAGTAGCACAGAAAGTTGTTCAATGTTTTAACAGGAAGTAAAAAAAATTACTGGTTGTAAAAGAATGAGAATAACAAATGAAACACAATCAGAACTTTCTATTGTTGACAAAAATGCAGTTATTTAGTAGTCACTTTAAACAAAAGATCAAAATAACGGAAGTTTGGGGGTCTTGTTTTCCTGTTAGGCATGATATGCGCTCCTTAATTAAGAAAGGAATAACCCCAGGATCTGGTTTACCTTCCGTCAGTGAAACTGATGAAACTGCAAATAGCCAGACAGATTTGAGTCAAATAACGAAAGCTACATCTCAGGTAACTATGTTATTCTTACTATTGACCCAACTCTTAATGATACAAGATTTTTTCCCTTAATTGTGAAACATACTATACACACAAAAGAATATACAATGTAGATCTGAACAGTATGAAGAATACTGTTAAAATAAATATCATATGTATCTATCACCTAGGTTAGAAAATGGAATAGTCATCAGCTATAGAAGTTTCCTATGTGTTTCTTCTTGGTTGCATTTTCTATCTGCCACTCAGATTATGGTATTAACTTCATGCTTTTCTCATTTTGCCAATTATAACTTAACTTCTTGCTTGTGAGATTCCTCTTTTGTTTCATGTCTCAGTTCATTTCAGTAACCAATGATATTTATTGTACGAAATTATGCTACAAATGGTTTTTAGTCTACCACAGTGTTAGTGGCTATATTTGTTGCTTCTTGTTTCCTACGATTGCAAGCAAAGGTACCATGATTTTTCTCAAATGTCCCTTGGTATGTCCTCTAGAAATATGTACAAGAGTTTCTTTAGTTTTAGGGTTCATACCCTTTATGTGCTATGGCTCCCCTTAACATTTTTTAAAACTTTAATACTTTGGAAACAACTCGTCTTTTTCTGTGTTTTAATCAACTGAGAATTGTTGATGAGGAACAGTGGAAAGTAATGTAATTAGCACTATGAGAGAACATACAACTTCACTATTTGGTGGTTGAATGACTACTAAGCATAGTTGCTATGGTTGTCATAGGAATATCAGGAATGTAGGACCACATGAAATACAGCAGGTCTAATACCTGCTGTAATTTCAAAGTAGGAATCAGCTTACATACTTTTGTAAGATAGTTAAAACAACTATAGTACAATGTAAAATACTGTGACATTTTGTGGAAAGGGTCACAAGTATTGCTGTCAACATGGTGACCACTTGCCTATATTGACAAATTGAAACTGGAAAAAAAAATGGCGAGTGTCAGTCAAACATGTAATGTCTTTCTAACTATCCACATTAGATATTTAACTATGAGCTTCATTGGATACCAGATTAGGAAGCCCTGTTCTAGGATATGAATCTAGGAGTCTTCGGCTGCTTGACCTTACAGTAAAATGCCAAACCATTTTACTAACGGGTGTAGTAATACCCACGCCTGTCAACACGGAGAGTTTTCATTATGACGGCATTTGGTACTGTATGAGGTTTGCTAATGTGGTGGATATAAAATGTTATTTTATTATAAATGCATAATTTAGGCAGTATAAAGTTGAATCTTTGTTTTTTAAATACATTCTGCCACTTTATGCCTTTTGATTGGAGAATCGAATCCCTTTACATTAAAGGAAAGTTTTGGTAAGTAAGCACTTACTACCGTTATTTCATTCATTTTTTTCTAGTTGTTTTATAAATCCTTTGTTCCTTTATTCTCTCCTGTTTTCCTTTGTGATTAGGTTATGTTTTTAGTGGTTTGCTTTAATTTGTGTGTCTATTATAGCTTGTCACTTTATGGATACCATGAGGCTTACATAAAACGTCTTATGGCTATAACAGCATATTCTAAGCTGAGAGCAACTTAACTTTGATCACATACAAAAACTCTACACTTTTACTCCATCTCTCCTATGATTTATGTTTTTGATATAACAATTTACAATCTCTTATACTGTATAACCCTTGACAAATTATTATAGTTATTATTTTAAATACAACTTTTCTGTTAACCTTCATACTAAAGATATGTGATTTAAACATCGCCACTACAATGTTAGAGTATTCTGAATTTGACTGTGTACTTACTTTTAACAGTGAGCTTTATAGTTTCATTTTTTAATATTACTAATTACCATTATTTTCTTTCAACTTAAAGAATTCCCTTTAGTATTTCTCATAAAACAGGTCCGATGGAGATGAACTCCCTCAGCTTTTGTTTGTTTGGGAAAGTTTTTATCTCCACTTCAGTTTTGAAGGATATCTTTTCTAAGTAGAGTATTCTTGCTTAATATTACTTTTCTTCAGTATTTTGAATATATTATCCCACTATCTCCAGGCCTGTGAGGTTTCTACAAAGAAATTTGCTGAGAAATTAGAACTCCTTATTTGCTTCATTTCTCTTGCTACTTTCATAATCCTCTCTTTGTCTTTGATTTTTAACAGTTTGATTACAGTGTGTCTTGGTGTAGTCTTATTTGGATTATATCTGATTTTGAAGACCTTTGACCTTCCTCTACTTGGATATATATCACTTTCCCTAAATTTGAGAAGTTTTCTGCTATTATTTCTTTATGTAAGTTCTACTCCTTTGTCCCTCTCTTCTCTTTTTTAAACTCCTATCACTTAAATATTTGCTCTTTCGATACTGCCCCACTAACCATATAGTCCTTTTTCCTTTTTTTTCACCTTTGACTGCATATTTTCCAATAGCCTGTCTTCAATTTCATAGTTTATTTTGTTTGTCTGCTTGATTGATTCTGCTGTTGACACTGTCATGCATTTTTAAAATTCTATTTCATTCATTGTAATTTTCATATTTCGAATTTTGGTTTAATTTATTAAGATAATTCCAATCTCTTTGTTAAATTTCTTGTCTTAGTTGTTCACTGTTTTTCAGATATCACTTAATTATTTTTTGGTATTTTTGAAGTTCACTGAGTTTCTTTAATAATCATTTCGCATTATGTGTCAGGCAGATTATAAATCTCTGTTTCATTAGAGATTTATTTTGTTCTTTAGGTGGGGTCATGTTTCTGTTATTGTTCTTGATCCTTGTAACCATGTGTTGGTGTCTGTAAATTTAAAAGAGTAGTAAATTATTCAAATCTTTGCAGACTGGCTTTGTCTGGGAAGTCCTTCACCAGTAAGATCATCTAGAGATTCTTAGTAGGTTGCCGACAGACAGGTTTGTTACTGTATTCCTTGAGCAGGCTAGCCTAGTACCTAGATCAGCAGGTGGGCAACCTGGGCACCTGGGTCTGCAGGATTGGGTCTAGAATGTGTGTCCTTGGAAACCAGCCTGAAGTCTGGGTCTATAGAAGCTATACTGATGCTGGCATAGACCTAGAGTACTAGGTTCTGCAAGGGTTGACCTGGGGACTCAGTTTATAGGGGCCAGACAGACACCAGGGTCTACAGGGGTGGCCTGGTTCCTAGGCTTGCTAGGGATCTACTTTACTGATTCACTAGTCCGGCCTGTGTTTGGGTCCAAGGCAAACTCCAGTGCTTACTTCTTTTTCCTTCTCCTAAGTAAAGGATATCTCTCTTTACCTGGATGGGGAGTGATATGTGTGATGCAAAACTGTCCTTCCTACCCTTTTCAATGTGTCTTATTTCTGTGCTATATCCAGTTGGTATAACCTTTCACCAAGTTTCTTTAGCTCTTATGAAGATATTTTCTTATGTGGATTATTGCTCAAATTGATGTTTCTGCAGAGGGCAAATACAGGAAAATCCTATTCTGCCATATGACGGATAAGAGCTTCTGAATGTTGCATCTTTGTATAAACAAGTCTTTTTTTATTTTTAATGTGGTTGAGTATAAATCTGGTTCCTTAAACCAGATATAGAAATCTCAATCATATATAATCATATACCAATAATCATATTATAATCATATATGATTGAGATTTCTATATCTGGTTTAAGAATTTTCCCTCTTCTTAGGTCATGGAGCTATTTTTCTAATCATCTTCTAAAATGTTATAGTTTTCCTTTCATAAAATCCAATTAATTGGGAGCTGACTTTTGTGTATGACATAAAATGAGGAGTCCAATTTTATTTTTTTCCATATGGATACACAATTAATCTTTTTGGATAAATTCTTATGCAACTTTCAAATTTTATAATAAAATTTCAAGCCATTATGATGTGATAATGTTTGTCAATATATAATTCTAAATTTTAACAATAGTTTCTTGGAGATAGAAGGTATCTACAAACTGATATTCTAAACCATAATGAAACTTTGAAAAACTCCTCTTTAATTGGTTTGGCTTTTATTTGTTGAATGCGATAGCTTATGTGATGGTGTAAGATACGCTGGAGGGCACATCATCATGTACACATCAACAAATCCATTAGTATTAATTGGAAAGCAAAGACTGAGAGGTGATTGAGGAGAATTAATATCTCTTAACAATTTTTAAAGATTTTTTTAAATTATTGATTGTAATAGTTTTAAACAGACAAAAATTATCCAGATCATCATAAAAAAATAGCCATCATGCCCTACACCTCCTCATTTTTCAATCTTGTCCAGAGTCACCCACTTTTATTTTATTTAACTGTTTCTTCTTGTGTGTATCTCCATAATTCTAAATAGTAGGCTTCATGAGAGCAGAGATATTGGTTTTATTGCATATTTTTTCTCTCTCAGCACCTGTGAAAATGCCTAGCATATCTCAAACACCGTGACGTATTTCTTGAATGATCACATGCTTTAAATCTTGATTGGTTAATTTAGACGTTATCTCTTGATTTCCTATGATGGAAGATAAGGATTTAGCTCACCTGAACTCACTTACTATCCCATATCTACACTTTCCCCTATCTTCCAGATTTTGTCATTTCATAATTTTTGGTTGAATCAACACTCTTGTTTTGTAAGGATTATTACTTCTGAAGCAAACACATAACATTTCTTACACAAGGTTTTATATAAGCAAATTACTGCACTTTTTTCTTTGCTCACTTTACTATGTGAAGCATGAGTAAGCATTCCCAAACACTAAAAAATTAAAACCTCTCTATATAGCATTTTCTGCATAGACAAACACATCAAATATTTTATAAATGCCAGTTCTTTTTTTTTTTTATTTGGAGACATTACCCCATGGGCTCCTTTGTTCTCTGATTTTAGTGCCAACTGATACAATTTTGCTGCTGTTACCTTTAGACTTCCTTTTGTCTCCTCCTCTGATGGATTTCTTATTTTTAGACTTTCTTCTTTCGTGATTTAAATCCTAATTTTGGTGTAGCACATATTCCAATACTTCCTAAGAAAAGATGTACAGGAAGTAAAATTTATGAGCATTT